GGGAATGAACCTGCGGTGCGTTCGCCCCCGGCCGGGAGGGGCGTGCGGGCTGCGGCCGCTGCTGAGCAGGTTTGCGTGTTTCTGCTTTCGGCCGAAGGAGCTCGAGCAGCTGGCGAAGGAGCAGGATAAGGAGTCGGAGAAACAAGCCTTACTGCGGGAGGTGGAGAACCATAAGAAGCAAATGCTCAGGTGGGTCGGGCAGCCGGTGCTGTGTGCAGGACCCCGCTAACCAGAGAGAATCCGGCGTTCGTGCGGCGTCTTTGGGTTCCTGTTTTGCAAGTGCAGTCGCTGACGTGATGAGATTTTGCCCAAAACCAAGAGAGGATCGGGAATGGAAAGGGTGAGACTCCCTTCTCCTTTCCTCTCTCTGGTCCTGACTCCCTAACGATGGTCTGTCCCTGTGAGCGGTTGAGCATGTAAGGAGATGGCTTGAGAGTGTCATCTGACAGCTGGCACGATTCTCCTCTTGCCTTGCTCCATAAATGATACACTTAGAAGAAGAAATGACAGGACAGTGCATGGTTATTTTGTGGTGTAACGGAGAGTAACCCCGTGCGCCTCCCTGGGGTGCTCAGTTACGGTGACGATTGCTTTGTGAACATTGTTTTTGCTTGTGAGGTGTTGCCATCATGTTACAACATTGCACTCTTGTGATTTCAGCAATCAGGCAGCTTGGAGGAAGGCGAATCTGGCTTGCAAGCTGGCTATCGACAACTCTGAGAAAGATCAGCTGCTGCAGGGAAGAGACTCCTTGAGACAAAGGTAATAGACCATCCCACTGTGCGATCTGAGATTTAAACAGCGTTTTAAGTGGAACTAGGTTTAAGTGGAAATGAGGTAGTATTTTTAAGTTACTTCATTGTATCTGGAACATAGCTGTTCTTTTTATGAATGCATTTACCTTTTGTGGAGATTTAAACTGTTAAGGATTGTGATAATTTCAGGTTTTCTTGGCTTTGGCGTATCTAAGCAGAAAAGGGGATAAGTTAGCTTTCGTAGTTTTCCTGACTGTCTTTTGCATTAATCGCAGTCTGGGTTACAAACAGGCAATAGATAATTCTGCAAGCTGTTTTCACGTGCATAACTGGATGTAAGCTTGTATAATTTATGCCTTGAAAAGCTGGCGTATTTCGTGTCGTGAAGCAACAAGTGGGATGCCCAGAATAATAAAGTGGTGGTTTGTGTCAGTGCTTCCATAGCAGCTCGTGAAGGTCGTGGATGAAGAAGTAGCGAAATATGGGCCCCCATGCAATTCTGAGCCACTAGCAGTTGTTTTGGCTCATGGCTTTAATATTTTGTGATTTGGTTTTAATTGTTTAGTGAAGATACTAACATAGACATGGGGGACATGGTTTAGCAGGCACGGTGGTGTTGGGTCGACTTGATGATCTTAGAGGTCTTTTCCAGCCTTAATGATTCTATAATAATCTGAAAAATCTAGTAAAAACTAGTTGTGTTTTTGTACATTGGCAGAGATGTTTGGTGACAAGCTCTGTCCTGAGCTCCTTGGCAGCAGCAGCATTTTCGCTGCAGTACCCAAAACCATAATTTTATCCCTTCCTGCTTTACTTTCTTGCTTTCTTTTTCAGGAAGACTACAAAGGAGAGCCTGGCAGAGAGTGCAAGTAACATCACAGAGAGTCTGATGGGCATTAGCAGAATGATGTCACAGCAAGTGCAGCAGAGCGAGGAGACGGTGCAGACCCTAGGTACAGATGTTATGTGGGTGTTTGGGTGTGAATTGGATGTTTGAAGCACCTTTTGCCAGTTCTGTTAGGATACGGAGGGGCAAACTGACATGGTGCAGAGCACAGTGGAAACCTCCTTCGCTGTAGGAGAACATCTATGATGATAACTAAAGAACTCCTCTAACTGTTGGGTATAGACAGAAGATAAGAATGTACGTTGTGTGGAGCTGTTTGCTGGAGTTTCTGTTTCATGGTTATGAAAAGGGAGAGGTCAGGAAAAGGGGGGAGGATGAGAAGCTTTTGTTTTAGCTTCACACAAAAGCAATTGTAAAAGCAGTGTGACTTCACACGGCGCTAAGAGCGTGTGTGGTGTCACTCTGTGCTACTGTCCTGGCATGCATTTGTTAATAGCAGAGAAAATAAAAGCGTAGGTACAAGTCCATACACAGAGAAACTTGGTATGGCTGGAAGTCTTTCTTCACCCGGTCTCCAGCTGGGATGGCTAAGAGACGAGGAGATCAAGTGACCTGAACCCAAGGTCACTGGCTGTGTCAGCAGCGCATCAGGGACTGTGAAACCAAGATTTCACCCAGTTCTTTGGCTCAGACTCCTAAAACAATAAATCAACTGACCTGTCAGAACTGGTGACTCATGAAGCGTGTAGAAGTTGGATCTGTGTTTCCTGGGCCTCTTTACTAGCTGTGCTTTTGGGCAGGAGAGAGAACAGTTTAAAGATGAGGATAAATAATGCAACTTTTGCCCTAGTGCTTTTCTGCCCCCATCTGGGGATGGCAGCTGGGCACGGTTTGTTCATGCAAAAGTAGCGTGTTTCTTCTCCCATTAAAAAGACAGTTTGGCAGACACTTTTTCATCCTTCTTCTGACTGAACAGCACTTGGAGTTCGTCAAGGGAAAAACTATCAAAGGTCATTTACAAAACCCAGCTGCAACTTCTGAATGGGTAGTTAGAATTTCCTTTTTTCAGAGCACGTCCTTTGCTAGTATGCGGTGAATATATGCAGCTGTGAAGCGGGGAAGCTCTGCTTTGTCGTTAACAATGGGAAACAAGTTTTCTGTTTTCACTTGGATGGAAATGCCTCTGTAAGATGGGGTGTAATGGGTTGCAAAATATTACAGACGTATTTCTGCTATGCTGGTTTTTGTGAACCAGACAACATGCTTGGTGTTTGACCTTTCTTTAATCCATCAGTGCAGTACAGAGTGATACGCCAGCATTCACTGCTGTACAGGGTATGCATTCTGTAATACAAGAAAAAGGGGACTCCTGGGCTTTTGCTTTCATTTAGTAATTTGAAAGGAGGAAGGCCGAGGAATTTGGGGCGTGCATTTGTTTGCTTGTTTGTTTTCTCACAGGGAAAGAGAAGATGAACGGGGTCAATGTTCCATCTTGCTCTTTTGGCATATTCTCAAATTCTGTCTTTAGTTGAGACCAATCACACACTTTCCCTGTAGTCGATTTTCTCTTCATTAGGAAAAAAATATTGTTTGTCAAAAATAACTATAAACAACTGTTTAGATTGTTTGAGCTGGACAATTAAGGATCTCTTACTGCTGCGTGCTGCTTTTTCACTTTCTGCAACCCCATCTGAATCACACTGATTTACTGCTCTGGCTTGGGGGAACGGTTTCAGTTGTGCAATTAATATATTCAGATATTCACCTGTCCTGCTGCTCCTAGAACTGATGCTGATAGTGATGGTGATTTCTCTCTCTCAGATTGGTGGTTCTAGCACTATTTGCATTTTACTCTGCTTGCAGCGAGCTCTCAGGTAGTACTGACTTTGTTCATAAAAAATGTGAACTAGATTTGATCTGGTAACCTAAAAACTAAAAAATTCAGGAAGAGGATGTAGGGCCTGTAAGCCATTCAGTACTCTTATTTTGCTTTGTGTTTTCCCTTAGTCCATCAGGATTACTGAGTTGTGAAAGCTTCTGCAAGAACAGTCTGCATTTGTGTTACCCATAAGTCAGTCTGACCCAGAAGGATCTCACAGGCACTATATCTGTATTGCCAAATATTGCATGCTTATATCCTTTGTCATCTATGTCTGAAGCACAACTAGCTGATTTTTTTTTTCCCACCCTTAATTTCAGCCAATTCTTCACGAACCATCCTGGAAGCAAATGAAGAATTTAAGTCCATGTCTGGGACAATTCAGCTGGGGCGAAAGCTAATAACAAAGTACAATCGCAGGGAACTGACGGACAAGCTGCTAATCTTTCTCGCTCTTGCCTTATTCCTGGCCACGGTGCTCTATATTTTGAAAAAAAGACTCTTTCCATTTTTGTAAAATTCCAAGGCTAAACTGAACTATTACAAAAGATCAGAAAGAGATGGCATAATAACGGGAGGGCTTTTAAATAAAATAATAAAGGGATATTGCAATAGCTGAAAGAGCATTAGAGCAGGCATGACTTTATACTGTCCCCCTGAAGCATGCGACCTGCCTAAGAAGAGCTTGAAGAAGCCGGTAGATCAAGGTGTGGAAAGAAGAAACACCAGTTTGCCTGTAGGTTTGGGGAAGCAGACAAACACTTGAAGAATGAGGCACTCGAAGGTGCCAGTCTTAACTTTAACTTCTCTTCGTTTTGCCTTGAAATGAACTTTTGTCCTTGGCTTGGACTGGAAGCTGCTTTGACATCTGTGTGTAAGGTGCTGAGAGTAAGAGGAAGGAAGGAAGAGAGAAGCTCACATACATTCCGTTAATAAACTATTTATTGTATCCATGTAAACTGAGTTTTGTTTAAAAAAGTCTAACGGATTGAAAGAGTCTGAATAATTCCCAGTGTAAAAAATTCTGTTTAATACTTAGCAGTGCTTGCTTATGGATTGTTATTTCTGGGAGCAAGCGGTCTGACTGTTCCTCTGGCCTTGGAGGGCTCTGACCAAAGCCAAGACAAGAGCCCTGCGTTCTACTATTAATTCACACAATGTATTTGAGAATTGCATTGTCCATCGGTTGGAATCAAAAGCCTTTTTACTTCTTTTCTTTATAAAATTTCACTTAATACATTATATTTGCAAAATACTGCCAAGTTGTACGTTTGAAAGTTTTTCTTGCTCATATGGTTGATCTTTTCTCAGTTATCATCTTTTACAATTATTACCTTCCCATCTCTTGTGCTTGAGTAACAGGAGTTGATTTGCTTTAATAGCATAAATATCAACCTACCACACTCCATGTAGTACCTTGAAATACCAAAAACTGCACTGCAATGTTCTTAAAACTGGTGTTGCCTTCACCCCTGGAAATTGTTTCATTGCTTCTTCAGAGCTGACTGGAAAGCTGACATTCTGTGTGACCTTTGTAGTTCGTTCTCAGTAGTATATTTAGAGAGAAGAGGTGACCAGTCCATTGTCTTGTCATTGTAATATTCATTGGCTGGATCTTACCAGGAGTCACGATTTACCCTTTTGCTGGCAGCTGCTACAAGCTTGGTTAAATGCAGGAGCAGCAGCAGGTTGTAGTAATCCAAACCGGAGTACGGGACAGTTGAAGTGGTGATTGCGTGGCTATGTTCGTAAACAAGAAACGCTGGAATTCTGTAATCAAGTTCAAAATCAGGGGCTCTGCCTGAAGACTTAATACCTGAGCCTTTCCTCTGGGGTTTGGTGCCTCGTGGCGAGGGCACGCCTGCATGTGGCCGAGAGCCGTCTCTGGCCCGGGAAGTCCTGTAATGCGCAGGCTGGGCAGAATGCACGTGGCTTGTTCCGTGTAGTTTGTTCCATCTTATTGCACTGCAGCCTTCCTAACAGCCTTTCCCGAGATACAGAATTACACAGAGATTGAAATAAGTTGACAATGTGCGCGTTCTGGTTTTGAACATGAGAGAAATTACTCTGCTTAAAAAAGATAGGTTTCACAAAGTCAACGCACATGTGCTTTTTAATAACAAGAAAAGCCTTGCTTTGAAGAAGTCGTCTTCTGATGAGCAGACTGCTAACCAAGGGGAGGGCTGTGGAGTCTGCAAGCTGGGGTCACGCTGGAGCAAGTTTCATCCAGCTCAGTGATACTGGCTGTTGTATTTCACAGGTACCATCTCCAGCGTCACGCTCCTGCCCTCTCTGGAGCCCACTCATGCCTGTGCCCCTCTGCACAAAAAGGCTGATAAAATGTGTCCACCTGTCCCCCAGTCTTGGAAAATACGGCTTTAAATACAACTCATATTTAAGACATGGAGATTATTTAGATTACATATCAAATGAATTGCTGTGCAGCAGTTCCTATTTTCCAGATCGGCATTGCAGTGCCATTTTATGCAACTTCAGAGCAGTCAGTAAAATTCTCTTTTCATGACCTGCTCGCTGCTCCTAGGCCAGATGTAGCAGCGTGGCTGTATTTTTTCCAGCCAGCTTGAGAACAGTCTCATCTTTCTGAAACACAGTACCTGCCGGTGGGCAAGCACTGACTGCCTCGGCGTTTCCTCCCTCGTGTGGATGCAATATCAAGACAGGTTGTTGCTGATGTCCGAGGTGCAGGGCCGCTGAGCAGAGGAGAGCTCTGCTGGTAGCAGGGACGCAGCGCGACAGGCTGCGGGGAGCGTCACGGGGTTTATCTTTGCGGTGTGCTCCCGTCGGAACATAGATCAACCTTAAAAAACGCAGCAGCTTTCTCACAGTGCTGACAATTTCAGTAAAGTTGGTTTTAAAGGGGTGATCTTTTTGGATGGGGGCTGTGACGTAGCAGTTCGGGAGAGCGTTAAAAAGTCTGTTGCTGAATGTCTTGGATTTTGCTCTGTTCTCATCTTGTTACTGAAATTTTAGCTTTCAGACCTTCACCTGCTGGAACACTCTGAGGGCAAAAAGCAACTTCTAAGGTCCTTCCATATGACGTTTGCTTTCTGTTGCATCTGGATTTCATTTTGTAAACATACCTACCTGCTCTGTATAAACTGACTGTCAATTTACAGTCCTTAGAGACAAGGGAAGTAAGTGAAAGAAGATCAAGGACAACTGGACCTTTTGGGAGAGTGGGAGAGCAGAAATGCTACCCGGGACAGGATGAGTTCATCTGCAGCACTTGGTACTTGAACGGGTTCCCTCCGCAGGCAGCTAGAAAGCATCTGGGCTCCTCATGGGCCACAGACCTGGGAAGAAAGAATCCGTTGGGACTGCGAGATAAATGTGATTTCCTCTGTAGGGTAGGAGCGGTGATTTGGTGAAGCACCATCTCTAACGCCTGGGGCCAGCCAGCCTAGGCGGTGCCTTGGTAGATGCCCTGGCTCGGTGGCTGGGTGCTGGAGCCGGGCCAGAGCTGGTGGTCGGTGCCTTGGACCCCCCGGGCACGGCGGGATGCTGCAGTCAGCCCACACGGCCCACCACTGGGGATGCTGGTGTGGGTGGGCTCCAGCATCGTCCCTCCAGGCTGCAGTGTGGTGTCTGGCGTGCTCCTCACCTACAGACCCTGCTCCTGGCTTGAAGGTAGGTCTCTGTATCTGATCTTTTGAATAAGTGAGCGGGAGTGAGGGACGAGGCAGTGGTTGTGCCTGGCTTTTTGTTGTTTGATACTCGCAATGTTTGTCTAGGGAGTGTGGAAAGTTGGGCCTGTGCAGCTGTTATGTGTCTGCAGGGGGATTTACGTTTGCATCTTCTGCCTTTTGGGCAGGTCACTGGTCTCCATGGCCAGCTCTGAATATGACGATAGAGTTTGAATCACACAGAATGGTGTGTCTCAGGGTCTTGCTTTCACTGCATGTGTTGTGAAGGGTAAAACTGGCATCACACCGATTTATTTGAAAGGGAGTAGGTGCTTCCCTGCAAGTTGCCCTGACACGTGCAACAGACCCATCGGGGATGGTGGGAAGGGGATGGCCTCTGCTTCCTCTGCACTTCTGGGCTTGGGCGTGACTTGAGGGCCAAGGGTTGGAGCCTGCCTGAGACCAGGAGCTCCAGGACTGCAGAAACAGTTTGGGAAGCTTTAGAGGAAGAAAGCAAGCGGGCTCTGGAGAAGTGTCAAGGGCTGTGCTGGAGGGTTTGTACACAAGTGAGAGCAAATGGGAGCACTCCTGTTGCCACCTGGACCATTCCTCCCCCCCAGGCAGCAGGTATCAGATGTGGTCACCGTAAGCTGATCGTGGGATTCACCGTCACAAACCAGTTGCAGTGAAAATCTTTTTCTTTCACTGAATAACAGTCATTTAAACCAAGGAGCAAGGAACTATTACAGGCTTAAAAAGGGCCTGAGATCTCCTTCCCCTGGAGTTCAGGGGCTGAGCCAGACCGCTGGCAGCAATCAAGCAGCTGTGGGTTAACGAACTCCTGCTTGTCAGCTGAGGGGTGGTTAACTACCTGTGTCCACACGGCACAGGGGTCTGCAGCATTTTAAAGGACCGGGGCTGTCTTGCTCTGCAGCTGGAGCTGCTTAGGGATGAGGATGGGGCAGTTCTGATACCTCCCAAATTTAGAGGTTTAGAGCTTGCTGCTTTGTGAGAGTCCCTGTCGGGTCCTGCCCGTGGAGTCCAACCTACCGCCATCAGTTTGCTTTTTCTGAACACCTGTGCAAAAGGGGAAAATTCCTGGAAGTCAACCCTCGGCGTGTCAGGAGCCAGACAGCTCTGAGTGTTTGGCTGTGTTGCCAGCGCGTGGCTAGCGGGCTGCGGAGGCAGATGCGAGCCTGGTCTCCGTTCCTCTGTGGCCGTGGTGGAAGGCCCGTGGGCAGGAGCAGGCACCTGCCGGGTATCCGTGATGCTGTGGCTGGGGTCATGGGCGTCTCCCCAGTACATCCCTGAAGGGTGCAGCGTGAAGATCACTTCCTAAGCATTTAGTTAGATGTATGTTTTCAAGGAAAGTCACCTTTTAGTGATTACAGTAAAACATGGACCTGAGGGAAAGAATTGGGAATAGTTGTAACATGCAACATAACTATGCTGAAAAGGCTTGACTTGGTTTGACATAATTATTTTGTTATTGCTATAGTGCCAGCAAATATAGAAATATTACAGGATAACTCTGTGGGTAAATAAATGAAGAGTGTATTTTTTTTTTCCCCTCTCTAAGAACTGAGGGGAAATGAAGTCTGTATTTGAAGTTCTGCTTTTGAAATGCTTTCCACATAACTGGCTTTACCAAAATGGAAGGGTGAATTCATAGCTTGGAAGTTTCTAAAAATGTCTCTGCCAAATGTGTGCGGCTGCTATCACATGCCAAGTGGTCCAGGCAAGTCAGGCTGGAATCTTTGGGGGCTGAGAATATCCAGGGGACATGTGCATACTTGTCTGCAAATATGTGGGGCTCTGCTTTGGAAGGTGGAGGGGAGGGGGAAATCAGCTTACCATTGCTTCACCTCCCTATTTCTAATGGTGTGACTCCACCAGAAGAGAAATCTTAAGCAAGTATTTTAGTGAGGTGTGGTGCCTTTGTGATCGTACGTTGCTGTGACGTGCCCCAAGCCCATCATATAATCGATGCCTGAGTGCTTGCAGTGTTTCTGTCACCTTACAGGCGAGGTAGGTGTTCTCCCACTCGGCAGCAGGTGCTGTGTGCCACAGCCAAATGCACCCGGTGCTGCTGGATGTCGTGATGTTCTGCAGTGTAAATGCCAAGTATCCTCCAATTATTTTTTTCTGATTGCTGAAAGATGGGTGCAGTTCTTTCTCTGAGGGTAGTTGGTGAGAACAGGAACCATGCTTCAAAACTTAGCCCTTTCCATAGGGCTGGAAGCCTTCTCTGCTGTTGCTCAGTTTCCCTGGTTATCTGTATTTCTCGGAGTCACAGGCCAGTTGAGGTTGACAGGGATCTCTGGAGGTCGTCTGGTCCAAGCCCCTGCTCAAGCAGGGCCACCTAGAGCCATTGCCCAGGACTGCGTCCAGATGGCTTTTGAGTATCTCCGAGGATGGGGACTCCACAGCCTCCCTGGGCAGCCTCGGTCTCCCTCACAGTAAAAACGTGTTTCCTGTTGTCCAGAGGGAAGCTCCTCTGTTTCAGTTTGTGTCCGTTGCCTCTGGTCCTGCCGCTGGGCACCACTAGAAAGAGCCTGGCTCCCTCCTCGGTGCACCCTCCCTGCAGGTATTCAGGTGGGTAAGATCCCCTTCCCCTTGGTAAGAAGCCGCCTCTTCTCTGGGCTGAACAGCCCCAGCGCTCGGCCCCAAAGTCGGTCCTGATTTGTACATTTAAGTATGGTACTTTTACATTCGTCGAGAAATAATTTCAGCTTAAAGGAGGTGGAAAGAGCTTGTATTCATACTTTGAATTCTAGTACAACGTTTGGCTGTTTCTTCTAATGCAGCAGTTCATGACGTCGTTGACTATTTCTCAGTTGTGTACATCTTAAGGTATGCTTGTTAGGGCATAATGGTATCAGTTGATGGTGATGTAATCTTTCCAAGATTTGATGGCTCCAGGATTTGTCACCTATCTATAAAGAAATTAGAAGGTTAACTGAACCTAAAATGTTCGCAGGTGGAGAAGTCAGACTTCTCATCTTTCTCTGCTGTGTACTGCATTGCTTGGTAGGAGAAAAAAAAAATGCCAGTGCTCCCTGAAAACAAATTTCAAATCACATCATTTAAATTCATGTTGTGTAAGTAGTGTAGCTAGCTACTGTGGAATCTGGAGCAGTATCATCTTTACTCCTGCAGTTGCGTGGTGTACTGTGAATGTCCATGCTCACATCAAATATTCACTGAACAAACGCTTCCTAAGCTGCCGGTCGAGCAGGGGTGACCCACTCCTGAAAACTGATGTTCTCCTGGTTGTGGACTGTGCTGGGATCTTTGACTCATGGTCTGATTGCAACTGGGAGTCACATAACGAGTTACTACTCCATCTGCTATTTCTGCATCTGTCCCATTGTGCCATCGGGTTTTCAGCTGTATAAAATGCATCCAGGGGCTCTTACATCATCCGACCGCTACCTAAAGCTTAACGCCAGTGTCTGTCCCTGCAGCTGGTTGTGGACTTGTTCAGGGCGAGACCGTTACCCTGAATAAACTACATTTTATTATCATCTGCTTGCTTATATAAAACAGTAAAAACGGGTCTGGGTGGCTCTGTGCAACAAGGGAAATGTTAGTCCCACTGAGCTGAGGTTTTCATTTTCTCACAGGAACAAGCGATGGAAGAGTTTGTGCCAGTTTCTTCGGGTGGTGCATTGAGAGAGGTGCTGTGGATGTGCCAGTGCACTCTGTGCCTGGAAGATCTGGTCCTCTTCCACACATGGTGCCCTGCAGCCTCAGGAAGGGACTGGGAATCTTTATTGGCTTAATCGGGTTTAGGGCCTGGACCATCATGTGGTGTACACTGAGGTCTCCGCTCAAGTTATCAGAGACACAGCACGTGTGAAATCAGAGAAAGGAAGATGAGAAATAGGTCCAGAGACTTATTTATGCACTGTTGGTACCTGTTTGGTTTTTTTCTTTCTTTCCCATGAAGATGTATTAAAGGGAGGGAGAAGACAATAATTGACAGTGCTGGTTCAGTGTCATCTTCGCTTCTTGCTGATGAGCGAAATCATGCGCTTCTGGAGCCAGCTGTGTGGGTCTGCCTGTGCCTTGGGGCAATACCCTGTGACCAGAGAGCAGTCGCTGCACCTCACTTGATGAAGAGCTGCTCTGTCTTTCTGCCCATGGCTGCTCCTGGTTTCCAGGAAGATTGTTTTCTCCTAGGCAATCCATCAATTCTTGACATTTTTGTCTCCATTTGCCACGTGCTTCCTATTTCAGGAATCCGAACCTGAGCTTCAAAAGCTTAGTTTGATGTGACACTTTAGTAGAAACGGCTCATCTGTTTCAGTGTGATCACAAAGGAGGAAATTATGGATATAGGAGTGAAGTGCATGCTAGTATCTTCTCAGCTTCTTTAAAAAAGATGGACTGGATCTTTTGACTTTGACTGGAGGCTCCAAAATTGCTGTCAGGTCTTGCAGGATCACCTCCTGCTGTGGCAGCACTGGAGGAACCTCAAGGGCTCGCAGGGATTTGCAGTACTGCAGTGACAGAGCAGCACGACAGAAAATCTGCTGCTTCCTTTGGATATCTGCCTTCTGAAACCTCCTGCAAAGCTTTCATCTTGTTCATAAAAAGCAAAGGTTAAAATAGGAAGCAGGAGCAGAAAGTGAATGCTAATGCAGCTCCCTTTCCATCCTGACATTTTATCAAAATGTGAAACGGTTTGATCATTTGAGATCTCCAGCGATGCCAAAATAGATCTGTAAAATGAGCAGTAGTTTGACTAAGTGGATAGTGAAGGTCTGACTAACAAAGATCAGGCTTCAGTCATATATTATGTTCTGAATAACACAAAAACTACAGATAGACTGGTTAATAAGGGCACATCCCTAAGGGCCTATTTTTTTCCCTTCTGTTCTTTCGATTTCTTCTTGTTAAGTAATTTACTGAGGTTTTTGTAGAGGATGCGTATTCTTACATCTCAATTACATGTTCAGTGATGCTGCATCACTTGATACACTCCTTCCTTAATTCTGATAGTGCATTTAAATGGGTCTCATGCAACCAGTGGACAGATCCTTGTTCTGCCTGGGCTGTGGCGAAACTCTGACAAGTAGCAGGTAACCACAGGAGGGGTTAATTTTCAAGTCCTTTACTGTCTATAATTACGCTTCTGCAAGTTCACTGGAAAATGTCACCTAGTTGTGTCTGTGTGTTTCTATATAAATGCACTTGGTTAAGGGCAGCAAAGCCAGCACTCACCTCCTGGGCTAAAGTCCCTCCTCTGTGCTTCGGGCTGGGGCTGCTGGTCCCACCAGCATGAACAGTAAGTGGAACAAGCTCCCCGCTTCTGCCGCCATGTGATCATGAAAAGTATCAAATTCTATACAAGCAGATATATGGTCTTCACTGTAGCAAACAAACACATTAAATACGAACCCTATGAAATGCTTCGTAAAAAGCAGCTTTTACTTTTATTTGCCTCTGGTTTGGGGTTTGTTTTTAATGGCGTGATTGTAAGCCTATCATGTAAGTGTTGAATGCCGAAATCATAACCTTGGAGCATCTGCGATATTGCCAGTTTCTCTTTGCCAAGCTATGTCCTCACCCAGTGGCTATTTCCCCTTAGTCTGTGTGAGCAGGAGGGGTCCAGCCTGGCCCTCCTGGCCCTGCGCGGTGTCGAGGAGAATGGCACGGTTCCAGCGTGGACATTGGGCACTGCTGCAGGGCAAGAGCTGCGGCAGTCATGGCCCTGCGTCTGCCTCCAAGTGATGTGTTGGGTGGTAAAACGCTGGGTGAATCGTGAGGCTTATGCAGCCATGCAAAGTCATTAAAAATAATTTGGTAGGAGCTGTGAGAAGCAAATCTGGTGAAGGTCTCTCCCTGGGATGCTGTGACATCTCGCCGTACCTTAAACCACCATAGTCTTTCACTTGCACTTGGGCTTCCTTTTATTTTTAACCTCACAACGTGAGACTGATCAGATGTTATCGCTCCTGACCTTTGTCTCCTGCTGCAACATCAGAGCGGACTCGCGTATCCCGCTTATCTCCGGCTCTCCGAGGCTGCCAGGCGGGGCGGCGGGCTGGGCTGGGCGCTGGGAGCGCTTTGCCTGCGGTTGGTGTCGGGGCCTGCATGAAAGGAAAATGCCACTCGGCTGCTCCGAGCCTGGCCTGGTGATAATGCTGCGCGCGTCCCTCTGCTCCCGCGATAAGCGCCCAAAGGGCAGGCAGGGAGAACGTCTCCTCGGGGATCAGCGCACACCAAGCCCTATAGATAGAACCACATATATATAGCACAACATGAAAGCTTTTTGCTTGCTTCTTTTCAACAGCATGATGGCGAAGTATCACGTCCAGGGACGCTTGCGGACCTGACCCCTCCAGGGGTCTGGTCTCGTTGTACCCACAAGCTCGTTGGTTTGCGTCGTCCCAACGGGAGCAGAGATTTGAAACTGAAACCCACACGGGCTGCAAAGCGTTATTTCGTGCTCCCGATAAACGCACAAAGACCGGGGAGGGGAGGGGTGGGTCGGTTTTGCTTTATCTTCAATAAGGACAGCGGGACAGACTTTTTCTGTTCGGGTTATTGGCTTTTCATAGGTGTCACCCAACTACCAAACAGTCATTGCTGCTGCTGCTGGGAGATAACTCTGTCAGTGGCATCTAGGTGCTGACATCATGGCCAGCTAGTCTGAAATGAAGATAAGATTTTTCTATATTGAGGAAGTCTATTGATCCAGTTGGCCTCCTGTCCTGTCCTGTGTCCGATAATAGCAAATACTTGATGTTTCCAGGAGAAGCAAGCCTTCCCCTGTTCTGTATGTTGTCATGTATTGTGTGTACGTACATAAAAATTATCTGTTATATCTATATCAATGCTGTATATTTTGGATTAAACGATGAAGAATTCCTTTCTGAGCTGTGTTCTGAAAAGCATACTGCTTTTGCTTCTTTTCATTTGGATATAAAATTGCAAATGCTGCTAAGGATCAAAATGTTATTCCCATTTGTTTAAATGTCAGAGATGATATTTGAAAATAGCTGAAGAAAAAATGCAAGCAGCTTAATGCCAGTGGCTCCCAGCTTTCACTGACTGGTTTGTGCCAGTAATCTGTCTGCTTATTCAAAACCAACCAGCCAAAAAAAGGAGAAGGGGAAAAAAAAAAAAGAAAAAAAATCACAATTCTGTTTATCTTCAGATTTGTTTAAAATAGTTTTGTCTTTGCACCAGTATCTTTGGTAATTGCAGACTTTCACCCAAACTTAGTTCCTGATCTTTCACAGACTTAACGGTAAATAGCTTTGTAGGCAATAGGGTAATAATATTCATGCTGAAAGACAGCCAGTGGGAATTTGCTTTTACTGCAAGTTAATTAATTTCTATAAAGATGTGGGTGAATGTTTAGGTTTGCAGATTTCAACAAGAGCTGCTGGTCTTATCACCTTGTCAAAAAGACATTACGTCAGGTGTCCCTTAGAAGATTCCAGAAAAGACAGCGAGCTTTGGGAGAGAAATTGCCAATTAGGAAAGCGTAACACCTGGAAGAACAAGCAGTAAGGATTGAAGGATCTCTCCAGAAGAGAAGAGTTTTATGTTTGGCACTAAACTCTGGTGAAGATTTAGCTTCTGTCTCTGCAAGCGGGGAGTGGCAGCAGAGCTATTTTTGTGCATTAAAGCCAAGAGATATTAGCAGTGCTCTCTGTACTCACCCACAATGCCTAGGGCACTGGGTTTGGTGACGCTGTAGTAATAACCACACGTGTATTGTTAATTAACATATCTGAATCTTATTCCTGTGTGGTACCTTGTCAGTGACCCCGCGGGAGAAGAAGTTCTGCCAGGTGACCAGGGCCATGGGTCCCTCGTCTGGTCCAGGCTCGGCTCCGAGGCACCACAGCTTCCCCAGAAGCATGTCCGTCAGCCCCAGACGCCGCCGGTGACAAATGACATTTTCTTTGCCTTTGTACACTAGGGCGTAAGATGTGACGTTTACATTCAAGATCAATTATTTTTAACTGAAGAATGATAGCCGTGTGTCTAAATTATCTCGGGGCTTAATTCACATCAGTTAAACCTTTTCAAAGGCTTATTAAAATTCCTTAAGTGTGTCCAACTTATCAGCAGTTGAGTGTCGATGGCATTATACAAATGTTGCTATTGGAAATAACTGTTAAGTATTGTTTGACTGTATTATTCTCATATATATATTACGCCTGTGACTATTAATACTACTTAGTACTTACATGACTCATTTCATCTGGCGATCGTAAGGCATTGCCCAGGGAAGCAAGCACCATTCTCCTCTTTCTAAATACGGGAAAACTGTCACGTCCAGCGGCTGTGTCTCGTGCTTGGGTTTAACATCTTCCACAGAATCCTGCCAGGCTTGGCTCTCCGTCTGCCCTGTCGGGTTTTAACACGACTTTATTTATTTGTGCTGCTGTGGCACCTCAACCTTGCACCCTGGCACCTGGGCAATGCTGTCTTCCGTGTGGGCAAACACAGGGCGACGGCGCTGCTCCTCTGCTGAGGCACCTGTGGTGCTGGAGAACGTATAGGTCAATATGTAGATCAATATAGGCTGAGCGATGCGCGGCAGGGAGGGGGGATACTGAGCACCGTGGAAGACAGTTCAACAACGACTGTCACTTACGGAGCAAAGGGAAGTTTGAGAGGAGCGTGGAAGGGGTTTTGGAGGGGAGGAGGCTTTGTTGCTCCATCTGAGGAGCGTCCCCGTGCTGGCAGGAAATCTGGGAAAATCTGATCACAGAGTCTGGCATCAGCATCTTGATGCTGTGAGAGAGGATGAAAAGGGGAGGTGCAGCCTCTGAAGGGCCGTGAATGCTGCTCACTCCATGCTCCTGTGCTAACCCCCAGCGACGGTGAGGGAGGAAAAATCCTGCTCGCAAATAAGTGTGCTGCCTGTCCTGGCATCCGATACAGCTGCGGGAGGCTGGGATGGGGTTGTTGATGTGCATGCCTGTATGAATAGCCAGTTGGAAGGGCTTGGGATTAGTTTGCAAGTGTTGTTATGCATTTTTTTCCTTCTTTTTGTTTTTCCCTGCAGTGTAAAAATATACTTCCTACCTCTCTCAGGGAAAGGTGGAGGTTTAGATTTCATACACACTTGTGCGTACTTCCCGTTGAGGTTCTGTGTGGAGAATGTTTTGAGGAACCGATCATTTATTCCAGAAGCCGCTAGGTAGCACTGTGAAATAACGTTCCGCCGAGCCCCGCACCATGTCACGCTCCCCGACCCCGCAGAACGAAGAGCCAACCCCAGCACGCTGGGGCTCTGTATGGGTAAAGGCGGCAGGGGGGGGGTCAAAACTTGCTCCAGCGTTGGCTCCACAGTCACGTGTGGGAGAAACCAGCCATGCCACGAATGTCACGATGTGTGCTCCTAGATGCTTTGGGCACTGTTTGGCAAAATACAGCAGCGTGTGCCTGCCCCGGGGGGTGAGCTGCCTGCTCGTGGGGGGAAGCAGAGCAGAGGCTCGCGCCGCTGGCAGCGCCAGTGTGGAAGCACAAATACCTGTTATGTCCTGTTCTGCTTAGAAGTGAGTCTTGGTGCCAAAACTCTGCGACGCAGATGCTGCAAACATTTCTAAAATCGATCTTTGTGCTTTGATGGCGACAGCTGCATGTGATAGCCGAGATGTACTGTACTCGGACTTATTGCACATTATTCTCATAATAAGCATTTTGCTCTCATAAAAAGTCTCTTTATTGGAATATAATTTTCTAATTTTTGTAGAGAAGTTATGAACAGAGTCTAATATGTTAATTTTCAGTTTGATACTCAAAATTATTTTTGATTGAACTCTGAGTTTCTTCTGGCTCAATACAGTTTATTAATTCCTATGACTTCCGTTATATTTTTAATTTGCATTGGAACATACCACAAAGCAAAATGTGTTGTCTTGATTTAATAGGTTAAGGGTTGTTCTTCCAAAGGAATGGAGTCAGGTAAAAATTGGGGTTTGATTATTAACTTGTTTTTATTAAAATTACTTTAGTTAGATCAGAGAAATACTTTGGAATATTAATCCGAAAATTACTCCAAAAATAAAACTGGTAATTCATCTAACTTCTGAGCTTCAACAGGTTAGTAAGCTAACTTTATGCATTTTGTTTAACTCGACTCCATATAGTCAACTATATAATAGCCTAACTGTAAAGCAGATTACGCACATACATATTTAAATATCCAGCAGCTAACTGTAATGTGTGTGACTGCAACAGCACCGTATCACTGCTTTTTAAAATTAGACCTCGCTCTGGCTGCCGCAGGGAGAGGAGACACGATAAAGGGATTGAGCATCGCTCTCGGCAGTAACTGCTGGGCTTAAACACTCGAGTTACAGAAACTGTGAGCTGCCACCGCTGCCGGAAAAGTCCGCGTGGTCCCTGGCTCCAGGCATCACAGTGTGCACGCTGGTCGTTGTCTAACGCCTGGGGGAACTTCAGCATCAGCATGAGCTGAGGAGCTGGGAATTAGGCCAAGGAGATTCTTTTTACATATCGGCCGTGGCTGTACCTAATGTGACGGATTTTCTACCTGCAAAGCCAGGCAGTTAGGCTAGGTGGTCATTGGAGGTCCCTGCCAACTGAACTATTCTATTCTGAAGTAATCATGTTCACAAAAGCATTTTCTGAGTTGGGTATAATTTACCACCGTCAGGGAAATGCATGGAAAGTGCTGACCAGAAAGGGCAATGTCTTTGTGTAAAGGCTGTTTCTCACCTTGTTCAAGCCAAAGATGCCCCAATATAAGCTGAAACAAATGTGCTTGGTTTGCCCTGACAAGGGCCTGAATTGCTTGATGTTTTCACCTCTTTGTAGGTTTGGCCACCCTGGCTTACAGCAAAATAATACTGTGGCATCACCTGTTGCTCTAACAGTGTCTGTTAACACTTGCTGGGCGGTTGCTTTACCTTATCTGGTTACTTCTGCAACATCTGCAAGCAAGTTATGTGGTATTTTCATCCCCCTGAGGATTTATGGTGACCTCTCGGGAACCTTAATCATTGGATCAATACGCTTCTGACACCTGTAAATCAACATAAACTTGACCCTTGGTCTTGGCAAATCTATCACCACAATGCCCTTTTTTTAAAGCATCTCATGGCGGGGAGCGGAGGGGGTTTGGGCTGGACGGACGCGGTGATGGTGCCAGGGCAGACCCTCGTCCATCTCAAGGTCAGAAGTCAAAATGATAAAGGAAGTGCCCGCCTGCGGTACCCGAGCAGAGCGCTGGGCTAATGGGGGAGCGGCCTGGGGAAAGGTCCTGCCACGTTTTTGGGGTACAGCCAGGGTCCCACCAGGACCGGCCACTTGCCGAGATGCTGGCCCTGCATCCTGATGTCTGGGGGAACAGCTCTGCAAAACGCCGTATTCGGTGAAAGCGCTGTTCCCTTCCTCGGGGACTTGTGATAAGACGAGATCTGCTGCTTTAAAAAGCTGCTGGTTGCGCTCATCCTATCTTTAGCTCAGGTCATCAGACAGCGTCTTCTCTTTTGAAAAGTCAGTTCCTCTCTGTGCAAAGGCTTTCCCGCACTCACCCCCCGCCCCATCCATTTTTCCATCCAAGCACTCCGAAGCAGGGATTTCTCTCTGTGTCTTGGCAGCCCGCCTGCATTCAGCAGGCGATGGAGGACCCTTGTTCCTCACCTGAACGCTCTGCCTCTGTAGCGCGACACGTGAGGTTAGATGACCGTCTTGAGATTCCACATCAAATAAATGTCAGAGTTACAATTAAAATAGGGTCTTCCCAGTTTCAAGATCTCACCACCTCTGAGTTTACTGAACAAAGCAAAGCAACAAGCAGTGCGTGCGGCAGCAATAACAAGCATTGGTAAAGAGCACTCTGCAGAAGAGTAATGACAGCAGGCTGTATTTTCACAGAGTCATTTTTATTATTTTTTTTCCCAAGAAGTTTTCCACAAGATGTCAGTGACTCAAAAATTCCTTAGTCATCGGTTCTGTTTTTAAGAAAAATTAAAAATGCAGAATGAAGTCCTGTGGCCTACATTGTTTTTCTCAACTGATTTTGAACCTCCTCTAAATATTTTCATTTTCCCTCGACGAGTGGGATGCTGCTATCTTGGTTGATAAAACAGGAATGGTCTCAAAGCAGACTTTTAGTTTGAAAGCATCTGGCTGATGCGTTTTGAAGAGGATGATGCTGTTCAGCTGGCACACACCAAAATCTTCAAAAGTTGTGTGATGTTATTTCAACTAAACCGAAAACGAACAAGACAGTGTAAGTGGGAACTAACTGCTTGAATGGCCTCTCCAGTCCCAGACACCCGTACCTCAGTCTAAACCTGACTCCAGTCGTTTACGCTCCCGGAGCACATCACGTTGACTTCTGGGTGACGGGACCGAGTAGAGCTAATGAGTCCCAATGTCTTGATTTCAGCTGCAGTTGGGAACAGCTGTGTGGAGGGAAGGGACCTGCCTGGAAAATGAAAGGAATGGCCATCTGGGAGGTAGGGGGAGACGGAGAAAATATCCAGGAGACATATCCTTCTGCCTTGCAGTAATGAGGGTCTCTGTCTTTCAAGACAAATCTTGAAGGGCCAACTTGGCTTTCCTGGAGAAGGATCTTTGAACGAATTAATTTTGCACTTGTAGTAAGGGTACATTTTACTACTGGGAGCAAACAAATGTCTGACTTTGGCAAAATACTCTCTCTATTCTGTTTTGGCTATACGCTGAGGTTTGAATGGATCTAGCCCCAAAATACCTTTCTACAGAAGACAAGTTGAGCATGGTGGTACTGACTTTCACCAGAAGAGCATCTTGTGTCACCAGATCTGAGATCATGGCTCCTCTGTGCTATAAAGGGCCTTGTAATTCAGACGCAAACTTGAATTCATGACATGTAGAAGCACATTTGTATCCAGCATTTGCTTTGGGAGCCCACTTGCTCCATCTAAAGGTTTTTAAGGCCAAAAAGGACA